TACTTTCTTCCTGTTTTTCTCTCCTCTTTCTTTTCTTCAGTCGTCCTTCATTTTTCCTTAAGAGTTTCCTTCACTAAATTTCCTGCAATATTTTTTTCTTTTTTTCCTACCCTACTTATATCGGTCTTTCCTTCTCTTTTCGATCTTTCTATTTTCATTTCTTTTTTCATCTATACTTTTTTCTCTTTCTTTGTTTTTCCCATTATTCCTTACCTTCTTTCACCTTTCCTTTCCGTTTTCCTTCATTCCATCTTTTCTCTTTTTTGTGTTTTTTTTCTTGCATTTTTCTTTTTTTCTTTCTTTATTTAGCTTTTCTTTTTGCATTTCGGTGCTTTCTCCTGCCTCCCTTTTCTTTTCTTTTTCTTTTTCTTTCTTTCTTTCTTTTTTTTTCGTTCATTCTTTCATTATTCTGCATTTTTCTGTCTCTCCTTCCTTCTACAATTCATTAGTTCCTTCTTTTCTTCCTCTACTCTCCCTTCTATTTTCCTTAACTTCTTTTTAAAAACGTTCCTTCTTTTCTTTCATTCTTTCTTTACTTTCTTCTTTTTTCTTATTTTGTCTTTCTTTTTCTCTTTCCTTTGTTCGTTCTTTCTTTCTTTCCTTCTTTCTTTCTTTCCTTCTTTCGTTCTTTCTTTCTTTCTTTCTTTCTTTCTTTTTTTCGTTCTTTCTTTCTTTATTTATTTATTTAATGTGCCTTTCTTTGTCCTTTTCATTTTTCTGTACTTTTTTCCGTCTTTCCTTCTCTCATCAGAAATAAAACTCAATACTCCTTCCACTTTTACCCTTTTATTTTTTTCCATCATACTAATCCCTTTTGTCGCCATTTATCTGTTCGAACTCTCCAATCACTCCGCCACACAATCACGTTACCCATCTACTCCATATACCCATCATGCAACACGCTTACACTTGACCCATTTACACCTATTCCAATGTTGGCCGGTTCGATAAACGAAAGTGCTTACGCTCCAACACATTCCATCGTAGATGTGTCTGTGTATACGCATGCATTTGCTTTTATGCGCCTGTTTCAGGCCGTGTGCTATTCAAAATGGTTGTCGCTTACTGTTTGTAATTTTTCGCATTGAAAATTGGGTTTATTAAGTGTTATGTGTTGGTTTGGTATCGGAGTGTTTGAACAGACGCATTTTCTAAAGTGATTTCCTCAGTTTAGTCTAGCCTGGCAAAATTAAAATGGATCTGGAGTCTTTCTTACTCTTTCGTATTAGCCGGGTCAGAAAAAATGGTAATCTTTTTGAGCCGCCCGGGAAAGTATCTAATGCCTTCTACAATACTTTATCTTTAGAAGAGTTGGATTAGACCAAAACATGGCGTATTGCTGTCATGTCAGGGCTTGAAGTTGTTCATTCCTCACTTTCCAGTCTTGACAGTGTTCAAAATCGTTTTCGCTGTCTTTTAGGAGATGACTTATTTCCCACTCTACAGCCTCTTTCCCCGCAAACGCAAAATCGCAAGCCCATCTTGACTCTATTGCTATTTCTATGATAAATGTTCGGATGAGTTCCATTCTTTATTTCCAGGAGTTCATACCTTTACAGTAAGGACATTTACACAGTCCTGTGAGGGAAGGCTTATTCTTTCCCACAGACTCAACTTGCAAGCCCATTCTTTCCCATTTCCATGGCAAATGTTCAGATGAGCTCAACATTCAGCCTTTAAGACCATCCTGTGAGGGAAGGCTTATTCTCCATCGCTTCTTTCCATGGCAAATGTTCCAGATGTTCAGATGAGCTCTATTCTTTAGTTCCACTAGTTCAGACCTTTACAGCTCGGACATTTACACAGTCCTGTGAGGGAAGGCTTATTCTCCACTCGGCAGCTTCTTTCCCACAGATTCAACATTGCAAGCTCATCACGACTCTATTGCTATTTCCATGGCAAATGTTCAGATGAATTCGATGCATTAGTTCAACAAGTTCAGACATTTACAGTTAGGACTTGCCATGTTACGTCCACGTAGTTGAATCACCACATTTCTCCTATATTTCATTATTCAGGAAAAAAGTTATACTGGTAGAGATTTTTTCCTGAAAACTGCTACTTTACGGAACACACACTCGATGATCTCCTGAATATTACAATCTTAGCCACGTTAGAACGTAGGCCAAACGCTATCTATCTTCATAATTTTAACTTTTCTGACGTTCATATTACGCACCGTTTTTAGGGGGAAGCTTCTTCAAGTCAGACACTTGTGTCTTCAAAAATAACTCTGGCTAGAGCGTAACCACGAAATAAAACTATGAGCCGCTTGTGGCAGTAAGCAAATTGTATTCGGTTCTAACCTTCTGCTGTAAATGAGCAAAGCAGATTGAAGCGGTTGTAAGGGATCGAACAGTCTAAAACGGGCCTCTCTTCCCTTTCTGTTCGCTCTCAGTAGCTTTATATGTTTTCGGCTGACAGTGACAACTGTCTTATAGAGAACAGCGTTTTTTGTCTTGTCATCTAGAAAAGTCTTTTATCAAGAACCCAGGTTCTTGTTCCACTCAGTGACCCTCCTTGTCAGGGTCGTTTGATATGGCTCTTGTGAAACTCACTTTCCTTAACTAATGATCATCAATGCAATAATTGTCTAAAACAATTTTTGTAACATCTTTCAGATATCGGCTGATACTAATATCGCTACAGATGCACTCAAAGTGCCATACTTTATGAGTTCCCTACGCTTAATATACGAACGAGCTGTTTAAGACTGAAATTAATTGCGTAAACTTTCAAAATAAAGTTAACAAATGAATAAAAAATAATTAAATAAATGAAATTTAAAATGTAAATTCTTACTGTCATGGGTCTATACCTTTAACTACCGAATTAACTCTTCCTAATTCTCAAGAGATAGGTCGAATCAAGCCGAGCTTCTCGGCTTGACGGTCGAACTCTCTGCCTCTGAGCAGAGAGGAACCCGGACGAGGCTCCGCCGAAGGGCAGAGTCTCGTTCGGGGAGGTTGACCAACTCGATTCTGTTTTACAGTTTCTACGGGCATTTTTTGGCCGAGCCTACGGGCTCGGGAAACCCACGTTAAACTCGGCCTTTGTGCCATAAGCAACCCTCGTGAGGGGGTGGCTAGATACCGAATCGAGCCGAGCTTCTCGGCTTCACGGTCGAACTCTCTGCCTCTGAGCAGAGAGCAACCAGGACGAAGCTCCGCCGAAGGGTAGAGCCTCGTTCAGGGAGGTTGACCAACCCGATTCTGATTTTACAGTTTCTACGGGCATTTTTTTTTTGGCCGAGCTTACGAGCTTGGAAAACCCACGTAATACTCGGCCTTGTGCCACATCTTTCCCTCGTGGGGGTGCAAGTAAATATTGCATCCGATAGTAGTTCACTCCAAACCAGACTGACAGTCATACTAACAGCTTCCACATCTTGAATTATTATTTCGTGTAATATACCTTCGTTATTTCTGCTCTTGTGTTCGTGTTGTTCTTCCTTGGTCCAAACCTGGACCATAACACTTACATAAATTAGATTTTTACTAATTCCAACATAGATTTTATTTTTAGTCATTCATCAGCTCTCATCTGAGATGATGACAAAACCATTTCCTCCTACCTCGATGGTAAGTCAGATCAGGAGTCGTTGGGAGCCGTTACGCTGAGCTGTCCACTATTCTTCCCCATCTATCGCTGTCGTGTGACAGATGCTTGGTCTCTGCGAATGGTGTCTCCGGGTTATACCATAGTTAATGTCCTCCAACTAGGTGGCTTGACATGGTTACGAACGCGTGGCCGTTGTAGGAACCCTTCCTCGCCTGGCCGGTAGCCTATGTCTAATAGGTCCTTCGACCATTGAACCGTGTTAACACCACCCACTCTCATGAGTTTAGCCCGCCTACTGAAACGACATGACAACCTAGAACCATCAAGTGAGAGATTTAGGAGATGGTTGATGACCAGTGATGTCCGTTCCACCAAAAAGTGCAGCGTGCAAGACATCAATTGCACTACCTCTATCCAAAGCCCTCTATATCCATTTTCCACTTCACTGGAATTCGAACTCGGCTCTCCGCTTCTTCAGTCCGAGCCGATATCCATTATTCCGCCATGCCTCGCTTATCCGAAACAAAAACCACAAACGTATTCACAATCGGAAAATATTTTAGATTATAATAGTTACTACCAGTAGAGCCCGGCGTTGCCCGGGGATATAACAGTAAGAGATAGATCAAGTATCGACCATCATAAAGACTGAAAAATAAAATTGACAAAGATTATTGTTTAAGGTTGACGGACACGCATGTCTTAATTAGTTTTTATTTTTGTTTTTTGTTTTGTTTTGTTTTTTTTACGAATTGGTCAAGCCCAAACTCAAGCAAAAACATTGCTTTCAATCTTTCTGAGTCTACCAATTGAAGAGAATTTTATTATAAACAATTGTCTTGTAAATGTGATTTTTAAAGCATTCTGAATGTAAAAATAAAGAAAAAAGTGTTCAAGACAATAAGAAGCATTACCTGCCAAAAAAAGTTTTGTTGAAATCGGTTGAAAAATGTAGAAATCCTATCCCATATATAAACGAACACACACACAAACAACCTGGGTTTTATAAGTATAACTCTATATGAGTTGTCCCCCTTTCATTCTCGCGACAGCGATGCTTCTTAATCGTGTTTTCAAAATGATTTCGTGCAAAAACAATTCTGTTTTTCCAATTTCTGGCGCTGTTAGAACCACAGCAAGGTAATTTTACGTAGTCCTGTGAAGTTTTGTTGAAATCGGTTGAAAAGTGTAGGAAATCCGATCCCATATATAAACGAACAGACACACACACACACACACACACATCCTGGGTTTTATAATAAGTATGATTTTGACGATAATGACTATTAACTGATACAAATCCTACTAATTAAGCCAGGAAGTGGAGGAAGGTGGATTCATGCCTTTCCTAAGGATATTTGCGCGTAAGTAAATATAACGATCCTGAATGGAAATAGAACTCTGTCATCAGATTTCCAATTCCAGAGCCTTTATCTATTACCAGGAATTCCCAAGCGGTCACCCATCTAGGTACTGACCAGAGTCGACGTTGCTTAACTTCTGCGAAAGAACGAGAAGCGGTGCTTCAACTTGATATGTTCATAAACTCTTTATACCACCCGCACATCCAAGCTTACAGCACCTGGTATTCCCAAGCGGTCACCCACCTACGTACTGACCAGGCTCGACGTTGATTAACTTCTCTGAACGTACGAGAACCAGTACTTCAACTTGATATGTTTGTAAGACCTTTATACCACCCGCACATCCAAGCTTACAGCACCTGGTATTCCCAAGCGGTCACCCATCTAAGTACTGACCAGGCTCGACGTTGCTTAACTTCTGTGAACTTACGAGAACTAGTACTTCAACTTGATATGTTCGTAAGCACTTTATACCACCCACATATTCAAGCTTACAGTACCTGGTATTCCCAAGCGGTCAGCCATCTGGTACTGACCAGGCTAGACGTTGCTTAACTTTGATGATCCCTCCAGCACCAGTGTTTTAACGTGACAATAACACTATAATAATATTAGTCTGGTATAAAGCTATATGAAAGAGTGCCTAGAAAGGATAGATCTCATGAGTGTTTGGCTCTTTCTGATTGTAGTTACTACTGTTTAAAATAGTAGTAATATAATTTATCTACCTGTTGAATGTTTATCACCGGCGTATTCCAAAAGGACAGATTTTAGACATGTGGTATTATATCTGTATAGACATTGCACTCAAATTTTACTCCAGACCGTCAAAGAAAACCAGGTGTAGGGTTAATCTGAGGTTACGCCCGGCCAACAAACGCAGTATACATGACCTCACCCCTGAATCCAGTATTGCGAACCTCGACCGAAGATGTTGAACAGATGGAAATGCAAGCAACCATCCTAGATATAATTCAGGTAGTCTCTCACACATCGCAGACAGAATGTAAGGTCTACTTATCGGAGCCAGATATTGCACCAGAGACTGGCTGAGAGTAACTAATGAAATATTGAAATGAATAAAATGTTAAATAGTCAAGATTTAAGGCTCATGTAAGCATTTTGTAAGGCATCCAGAAAACAGGTATTTTATTAAATGAATTGATTTTTATGATGAAGAAGGTTTATTGTCGAAACATGTAAGAATTGATGTTTTCCAGATTGTCATGTATATTTACCGTTCCGTCGTATTCTCATCCAACATATATATATATATATATATATATATTGTGGTTCGTCTATTGCATTGCATTGTAGGTAGTCTATTGTATTATTCTAACGGTTGTTTTGGTGGGCGGTAACTGTTGTGTTTCGAATTATTCTAGGAGCTATTTAGTGGGAATAAATGTGGATCTGAATGCAGTTTTGGGGATTTTTATTGTAGTGTTTGTTGATATTGATATTTATAATTGATTATTTTATTATTGCTTGTTATTACTCTATTTTCTAGTGTTTATCTGTGCATTCATCGTTTCTTAATTTGTTTATTAATTACTTAATTTATTTATTTATTTGTTTGGATTAATTTATTTTCCTTGTTTTTGTTTAATTATTTTATTTATTTTTGTTCATTTTCAGTTTTTGATTTTTAAGTAACATGGTAATATAAGTTTTTATGTCTGCATTTTGAGATGAGTTCTGATCATTTTAGTTGTTTGCTTTGGTCTGGAAAAATAATTATAGATATTTTTTCTCCATCCAGAATTTACATTTTTGGGATTTATTGTTGTTTTGTTTGTGTATTTTGTTATTTATTATTGATTATTTTATTGTTTGTTGTTATTACTCCATTTCCTCGTGTTTATCTGTACATTCATGGTTTCTTAATTTGTTTCTTAATTACATATCTTATTTAATTATTTATTTGTTTGGACTAATTTATTTTACTTGCTTTTGTTTATTTATTTTAGAAATGGGTATTGACCTCAATTTTCACTTTTATACATATATATGTATGGATACATATTATATACCGTACGTATGAACACTAATGTCCCAATCCTCATAAGTACTTTCAACACTATTATAAGTGGGGTAATATAATGTCTAAGTAGTCCACCACTAACAATGGTTCACCTACTTCACGCCGCTGGCCAGTATTGTATTTTGTTGATGTTATAAAGATTATCATTTCATTTGCAACCTCCGTTTTGGTTATTCCTCATTCATTAACACTTTCTAGGTTACAACAATATATATATATATATATATATATATATATATATATATATATATATATATCACAGGTCGGCCGTCGTCAGGATTATCGAGTCAATGCAAACGGCCCTTTCCTTAACTGCATAGTATGTGCTTTGCTGGGACTACATTCACTTTTGAATTCAGTGCATTCTTAGACTGGTTACCATCCAAGGCTATAGAACCCATTCTCACTTACTGTTTACCGATAGCTGGTGGAAGAAGCATTGGATTTTAGAGAGATGAGACGCTACGCTAAAATACAAGAACTTGAGACGCAAAATATCACTCTTCAAGAAATAAAAATTGATAACATTTGTTTTTCCTAATCGAAGAAAAAGTACAGTCCATGTATCTCGATAGAATCTGTTGAAATTCCCCGAATTATGGGGCCATAGTTCACACTTAGATAGATAAACAGACAGGAGTTGGAATAATATGAGTGAGAGATGATGAAGAACTGGAAGTGGTCCTGGAAGACACCTACTTAAGGCGGGGAATGTAAATTAGAAATTAATTATTGCGCTATCTCTCCGTGAATTATTTTTTTAAAGAATTTCATTCATTGCGAGGTTCTAGGGGGATGGGAGTTTTTATCGAAGCACCTTCTCTCGGTAGATTACCAACCAAAAGCTTCTATGTGCCAATTAGGCGAGGACTTGTGACTACATATAGCACAATCATTCACGGTTTCATCTACCCAATTTCACTCACAAGGCTTAGGTTAATCCGTGGTATGCTTTCCTTATACTGATCGGATCCTCAATCGGATATTATCAAGAAATCTGCCTCTTTCAGGAATTGACCATCGTGAGATTCGAATTCTAACACTTAAAACCCTTCGACCAATGTAGTTCGCAAATTAGATAAAAAAAGAACGTTACAATTAAGTGTTTGGAAAATAATTAATGTAGAGACGTAATGAATGTATCTTGTCGGTGCACATAAAACGTAAAATTCTATCAATAATGCATAATTGACCGCAATATGAAAATTAGCAATATCACATAAAAACAAACTTTCACAAACGTCAATACAAATAACAATTCTTAGAACATTACTTAAAACCCAACCTAGATCTGGGAACAGGCAAGAAAAGAGAAAGCATTATTCAATGAAAACAGAAATGGGCTAGACTTATAGGAGAAAGAAAGGATGACAGATGGAGCAAAAGGTTGACTAATGAAGAATTACAGGGATTCCGATCACTTAAACGTTATTTTTAGTGGATACCCATATTTGAGTAGATTGAGTTTTAATAAACGGTATATGTAGTAGATTGAGTTTTAATAAACGGTATATGTATTTTCGTCGACCGACCTGAATATTTAGAAAATCATATTAAAGAAATGATTCCACATCCGGCAGGATTCGAGCCTGTGTCCACCTTAGCGGAAGAAACTGTCGTTATATCCGACTTGCCTGAGACCAACTCGGCCGAGAAGTGTCTTGCCGGTCGAGCGAAGCCGAATAGTGTGTTTAAGCGCCGATTCCTTCAAAGACACACGAAAAATTCACCTGCTCAGTTTCATATCCTAACGAAATCAAAGTAATTTCCAAACAAATAGACGGTAGAGGAAAATAAATTAATAAATTTAGTGTTTAATAAATAAACGTAGCGTCTATTCAAATATAGGTAGCCACTAAAAATAACGTTCGAGTGATAATAAATCCCTCTAATTCTTCATCAGTCAACCTTTTGCTCCATCTGTCATCCTTTCTTTACGTGATAAAAAAATTGTCGGTTTAATAAATATCGATTACTTCTTTAGAAACTGCAGCTCGTATCAGAGTATGCCTGTCTAGTAGGGTAGCTAGCCCTATCGCTGGCGCCTGCTCAGGCACATTGGTGTTTGTCCAACACCCAGAGACCCCAACTGTGATTTATACAGCAACTATGCTAAGGAGAGAGCGCGTTATCTGGAGTGATCAACAGTCTGCAGAACAAGGCCAGTACGATCGAATCCTCGGTCACGATGACTTGTCATTTCGTGCTCCGATGGCTTCCAAATAGTTCCGTCTACCCAATTTCACTCACAAGGCTTGGGGTAAACCGGTGGTATGGCTTTTCAGGCACTTTCCAAAGTCGCCGCCCACTTGGATCGCCTCGAACGGGTAGCATCAAAAAGTCGCCTTCCTGACAAATCGACCATGATGCCATTCGAACCCGGGGGTCTGATCATCGGAAAATTGGCAACGCGCGCAGAGAATGGTGCAGTCGCTCTCGTCATGGAAGGGTTTGGAACAGGCCTTTAAATCAGCAGTGTACACACAATGACTGGGAAGGGTGTGCTGAGGACCGTACCGTCTGGTGCTCCCTTGTAACGTCCAGAGTGTCTGATTTTGAAGAGAAAAGAATTGCGGACAAAGAACAAAGACGCCAGAAAAAGAAAGATCAAGAAGGTTCCGTCTCCCGGTTAGCTTTAGCCCCCAGCATCCCATATCTCATCCGTAACATATTTTTCACAGCGAATATCAGACTCATTAGTCATCAATGGGATTCAAAGTCAATGCGGAGAACGGAGATTGAGACACACAATGCGGCTGCTGCTGCTGATGTTGATTATAATGACGACGACGATGATGACGACGACGATGATGATGATAATGGGATGTTTTGTCCTTTTAGTTTTTTTAGTAATTTTTTTGAGGTTATTCCAAATGCATGATATATTAACCAGAAGGGGATAATTGAAACTTTTTCTTTCTTTCTTTCTTTCTTTCTTTTTTTTTTTTTTTCGGAAACAGGTATTGATTAAAATAAAAGAGAGAGAAAAGAACAGAAAAACATCCAAGAATATATAAACTCCATAAAATTCTGGCAGGGGAAATGACCTACATGCAACCTAAGATTTTATTTCTACGTAATCAACTTGTTACTTAAACGACATTTACTTAGATTTAAACATTTTTTCCTTCATTCCCATCTAGGTAATGACCAGGTTCGACGTCGCTTAACTTCGTTGACCGTACGGGAACCGGTGTTTCAACGATATGAGACCGTAAGCAGATCTTCGTGAGAGAACTTGCTTATTTGGAAGATTATCATAACAGAATCACCCCTTTTATATATCCTTGTGTCAGACTAAGTTAAACTCGATTACTTGAAGAAATAAGCGACTAAGAAGACAAAGATATGAGAAAAAAGAAGCAAAAGCTGGAGAGAAAGAGAGAAAGAAAGTTTATCCTTTACCAGTGTTTTTATT